AAAACTACATAAAATACAAGTTTCATGCAAAACATAGAAAAAAGCACTTCTTCTCATATATGTGGCATCCAAGACTTATCCAAAGTCTCTAGCCAAAACACTCTCAGAGAAGTGGTACACTACTTAGTCATTAATTACTACTACATGACCTATAAAACTGATTGCATGATGACTAAAATCCTACTAAGCAGTGAGGCATATAATCACCCACAATGTATTGACACTATGCACCTCCCCTTGGGTAACTAGCATACAAACGCCAGTACGTGGCAGTAAATAGCAGTATACGTGCAAACCAGAAAAATAAAGGCAGATGGCCTGACTTTTGCAGTCAAAACAATTGTTTGGAGATAAGCGAGGTGCTTTTCTTCCCATGAAGAAAAAGGGGGGTTGATGTTTTTATCTCTTCTGCCTTTAAGCAAACAATTTTAGCTACCCCTGGTGAGATTGATCTGTCTCCCAAGGGTGGGGGAAGAAGAGCTGATGCATCTAGGCCCACGCCTCTGTGCTGTGAGGCCAAGAGGTGGTGCCACGGCAGTGACTTCATTTCCCCTTTTTTACGGTACTCGCCACAAAGGCAGCAGCGCCCGGCAGCCGTCTCTCTTTCTCTCTCTCTCTCTCTCTCTCTCTCTCCCCCCCCCCAGAGGTGAGAGCCGAGGAAGTCAGGTGAGGCAGCCCGTGGGAGGGAGAAAACTATGCGGCTACCCACAGGCTAGAGGTGGGGCCAGAGTAAGACGACCAAGGGGGTTTCTGGGAGAAGAGGTTGGAGACCTCCAGACTACCACTCTGTGGCTTCTTTTGCACTTTTCCAGCTCAATCACATCCTTTGTTAAATATAGTAAGCACAAACACGAATCCGTCTCTTCACATTGCATACAACTGTCCACACGTTCATTTAGAAGTACATCCGTGGTATTTGAAAGGGGTGACTTTCAAGTCCACAGGCGTAGGACGGTGGCATCCTTTGGTCCCATCTATGATGGAGCCTCACAGTGTAGCAGAGTCCTCTGCCTGTGGACTGAAGCCATCAGCTCAGGCTCAAAGTCTCTCAATGCAGTCCGACCATCCCGTGCATTTATGCATGCCAGAATCGGGTAAACCACACAACAGTAAAAATCATTGCCATGAATATGTATGAGGAAGTGTGAAGCGTTGTCGGAGTCCCTCAGCAAAGAATTAACTTCGCTGGGTACACAAAATATCCCGGGCTAAAGGTACGCCCACTATTAGCCGGGGGTTGGTAAATAGCAAGGTCAGCAGAAAATGAAGTTGTAGTCATTTTATTAACGCGAGCATTCTGCTGTCGGGGTCTTCTGGGTCGCCCTTCACGAGTGACCATCCAGTTTCCCCTCCAGTCAACATGTGCTTTGCAGGTAGGACAGCTAGAAATGACTGAATGCTGAAGGGTTTGCTTTCCACTTTCAACCATGGGGTTATTTTATGAACTTTATTATATGTTGGGTTGGGAGCCGCCACGAGTCCAGTAGGAGCTGGTGGCATACAAATGTCAAACAAATGGTGATCAGCAGAGGCAGGTCAGGGTGGCTGGGATTTCTCCAAGGGGTCTCCAGGACTGAGCCAGTCCTGCAGGACGGCTGGTGCTCCTCTCCTCTTCCTCGGGTTTCCTTCACGTGGCCTCCGGGGAGCAGTCAGCAACCCGTGGGCAGTGAGCTGGTGTTTCTCCTCCTTCAGGAGAAGTTTTGAATTTATTTATATTTCAAATTTAGCCACTGCCCATCTCACTCAATGAGAGACTCTGGGAGGTTTACAATAAATAAGAATAAAAACCAATTAAAATACCGTAAAAATGGTGATCAAAAATAAACAATATAATCCAAGAGATAGATGGATGACCAGCAGATCAGCAGAGGCAGGTCAGGGTGGCCGGGATTTCTCCAAGGGGTCTCCAGGATTGAGCCAGTCCTGCAGGACGGCTGGCGCTCCTCTCCTCTTCCTCGGGTTAAATAATCAACCTCCAGGAGTGTCTTCAGAGTGCTAACCACCCCCAGGGCTAGTTAACCCTCCTTGAGCCCCACGCAACTGGCAGAGCCAGGTCTTCACCCTTTTCTGGAAGGTCGGGAGGGCGGAGGCCCACCCCATCTCTGCAGGGAGAGTGTTCCATAGGGCAGGAGCAGTGACAGAGAAGGCCGTCCGCCTGGGG